ATATTGCCCGTCCGGTGTGATATTCACTGTATTACTGACATCAGGCATTTCGAAGTCTTGAATGAGTTGGATCCTCTGACGCACATCGGTATTCCTTTGTTCCAACTTTCTCCTCGCTCGAGACGACATCCACTGAAACAGATTTTTGAGAGTAGTAACTATGAGTTTTTTGTTCATTTCATACCTCAGGTAGACTTTTACCGGCACTCAAGTTATAGATTTTGACATCATTCACCGTTGAGACTTCCATTGGACTATCTGGAAATGGGCTGTTAAACATATCAGTTTAAAAGGGGGATTCCGACCAAAAATTTGTATTGCATTAAAATGTGTTAAAAGTTATCTATTTTCCGAATATTATTGCGAAAAAATTCAAAAAAAACCGAAATTCCCGAAAAACGGCGTTGAAAAGGAAGAAAATTCAAAAAAAGGTGCCGCCGGGGGACGAGGATTTTCAGTGAGAAACCTAGGCCACGGCAGCGGGCGCCTTTCCTATGTGGCAAATTTTCCGGATTTTTTTCAATTTCATGTCCGGCAGGTAAAAAACCTAAAAAAACCACTGTTGGCGACTTGAAAAAAAGGCTGTCAGGTGCCGTGGCCTAGGTTTCTCACTGAAAATCCTCGTCCCCCGGCGGCACCTTTTTTTTGAATTTTCTTCCTTTTTAACGCCGTTTTTCGGGGATTTCGGGTTTTCTTTGAATTTTTTTGCAATAATATTTGAAAAATAGATAAATTTTAACACATTTTTGCAGAAAAATTGCAGATCTCTATCATTTATCTATACGACTAAAATAATTTCAAAAGCCACTTCTTCGGATTTATTGCGAATATTAGCCATTTGTTGTTTCTGGAGAGGATATTTTCCACAAAAAACTTGCTTATCAATCGATATGAACGGCAATTTTCGCCTAAAGTAGCTTCTTTTTTTCTTTCAAATTCCACAAAAATTTCAAGAAAAATACCGAAAACTTGCTCAAAATACCGTAAATAATGTAGTAAAGTTCCATCCAAGTCGTCCACTTTGAGCCCATATATCTCATTCTATTTGAAAGATATCAAATACTAGTTGACTGATAAAATGTTTATCATAATATGAATAATATTTTTTCAGTTGATCACTTTTTGATGTCTTTTGCATAGAATGAGATATATGTACTTAAAGTTGAAAATTTTAGTGACATTGTATTACAGTGTTTACGGGATCTGTAGATTAATAAAAAGATATTAAAATTGTTTCCTTTTATCTCTGACTTCTTTCGTTAGCTTATTTTTTAAAATCTCAAAATTTTTCTTATCGTATCTCCCACAGTGTCGATCGAAATCCAGATTGAAAACTTTTTCGCGAATAAAAAAATTTTTTAAATATTCAGTAGTTCTCACATTCAATATTGGCAAGACATGGCAATTTTCACAAACATGAACAGAAAAATATTTATACATTCATTTTTTGTCCTTTGTTTTACTTTTATCATTTCATTCAGTTATCACGAACTCGGGGGTGTTTGGTCAGCAAAAAAGATAGCAGAAACGCAAATCATCAACTTCAATTTTTCATTCTAGTTCCTCCTCTATTTTTTCCCGAAAAATCAACTTCATTTTCTAGAACAAATGTTATCACCAGACAGTCACAAAAAAGGGCAAAGGGCTCGTGATTAAATAGATTTGAGTTCTAGTTGGTGCAATGGAGGCTACACGTCGAAAGGCACAACTGATAACTCCTCATTTCTGCGCCTTGTTCCTCAATTAGAATAGTGTTTCTATTGTGAATGGGGAAAACGTTATCTTATCGCTGATTTTGGCGCTATTCCACCGCACAGCGGCTCTAGAATAGTCTCTTTTCAGCCTATTCCCCAACACAACATGTTGTCATCAATCTTATCGCTTTGTTTTTTCATAAAAAATGTTGAGGGTGTAATAACCAAAAAAACCCTCAGCG